ACACCAGGCTGCCTTCTTTGGTCAGGAGGCAGCCAGGGCTGCTCCTGGGCAGGAGGTGCCCCCCAAGCCAGGCGATACAGCAGCCCTGCAGACTCCCAGAGCCCAGACCTGGCTCAGGAACTGCTGCCTGATGGCAGGGCGACACCTCGCTCCCCAAAACCAGCACAGCCCTGGGCTGGTGAGGAAACCAGGTCTCAGCCTGAGGCATCTGCCCCTGCTTCTTCCTCCCTACTCCCAGCTCGGGGCAGCGGCAGGCCGCGGGATTTCCCGTGCGACTTCGGGAGGAGGGCTGCCGGTGGCCGTAGGTGAGGGAGGCCATCAGGCTGGCGCGGTGCTGCAGCTGGATCTGGTTGGTGCTGGGGCTGAGGGACATGCCCCGCGCGTGGGAGGACATGCCCTGCCCGCCCACGGAGGCCCCTTGCAGGAGGTTGTTGCTGACCATGTCGCCGGGCTCCTGCACTTGGATGGTGACCTGCTGAGGCTGCGACTGCTGCTGCAGGCCCAGGCACGTCAGCCCCATGGCTGGAGGAGGGGAACAGTTACCGGACTGCGGGAAGATTGTGTTGTGGGATGGCATCCCTTGGAACTGGGACTGGGAGGCGGCACCTACAAGGAACAAAGACCCTCAGCACCCATGGCAGCCTGTGATGAGGCTGGGAGCAACATCTGCCCCACATGGGAGCTGCTGCTCTTCTGGGGCATACTGGGAGTCCCAGTACACGTCTGTGGGGGATGAGGAGCGCTACTCCTGACTGCTCCATCACGCCGTGCCAGCGTGCAAAGGTCACAGCTAGAGCCCCTTGCACAGAAAGAGAAACAAAGCTGAGCTGACAGTGATTTGCATAAACCCCAGAATATCAGCCCTTCCTCCCCACCCCCGGGAGCGATAAGTAAGGATCTTATGACAAGAAACCCAACAGCACATTCCAGCTGGCGGCTCCTCGCGAGCTCTCGATAACACCAGCCCTTGCTGCCAGATGGAGAATCTTTTACATCATCAGCAAACCACACGAGGACCGGGGTGCAGGGGGGAACCGAAGCCCCCGGCACCCCCATGCACTGGTTTCCCCCCAGAGGTTTGACAGGACCATGGGTGACCAGCCCAGAGGAGCGCAGAGGGCTCGGTCGGCGCTTACCGTGGGGCTGGAGCACGCTGCTGCTCACGGGAGGTGGGCTGCTGTTTGGTTGTCTGAAGAGATGGTTATTAGGGTGGTTCGGGGGCGGGCTGGATGGCTGAATCCGTAACCTATGCAGGGAAACAAGCGCCTTTTCATCATGCCTGCTCCTCATTAAGATGCCTTTTCAGCTGCGGGAGCTGGTGCCAAATGCTGCTCTTCTCTTGTTGTACATAAACACCACGAAGCCCTGGTTTTTGATCCTAAGCTCTTTACAGCTTGGCCTCTCTTCTGAGAGCCACCAAACTTGCCCAGGTCACGCAGGTAGTGAGCATAACCCGGTGGCTACAACAGAAACCTGGGGACAGGGACAGGGCAGGCTCGCCTCCTGACTCTGTGGCCAGTGAGAAACCTTCCTTTCTCCTTTCCCCTAATTCAGCCTGCCTCATCTGCAAGTCAGGGTCCTGAAGCCAAGGACGGTCACCCAACCAAAAGCCCACAGAGGTGTGAGACATCCAGCAGCAGCTCTGAGTAGGAAGCATGAACAAAACGGGCCGCTGAAGGTGAGGCACTTTCAGAAGGCAGAAGTGTCAGTCATTTGTTTAAAGCAGGTTTGTGCCTTTGAATCCTGCTTCTCTGCTTCCGAAAGTCCTTCAGACAGAACCCAGCTAAAAGGATCAGGCACACTCACCGGGGAGCTGACTATGCCAGTCTAACTCCATACACTTCCAGCTCGGGCCCTGGACTGTTCTAAGCACGTTAGCTCACCCCTGGGCTTGAGTCAGTGTAAAACCCACTCCCCAGAGCTTTGCTAAAGCCATTTCTTTACCTCTGAAGCTGGTGAGTGAGCAGAGCTGGCTGGTTTTCACATGGAGCTTGCAAGGGTGGAGATGGCTGGGGTGGCCGGATACAGTCCTGAACCAGGCACCAGAAGAAAACAACAAGTGTTTGCAATCAGTAATGTCTCAACTTGTACACTTAGAAAACACTGAGTGGGGAAGCAGGACACTTCCAGATTCACCAGTCAGTCCCTGAGCACAGCTCTGGCTGCAGCAGCTGTGCAAACATCAGCGCTGAATCCCTGCAGGCTGGCTTCTCCTCACAGCGAGCCCAGCAACCCGCCCTCCTCAATCCCACGGGGACCTGCTCAGTAGCTCTGTCTGCAGCGGTGCAGGAAAACACAAGCTAAGGCTTCAGAAGGTCTGGCTCAGGCTCCAGTACCTGAATCTGCTGATGAAGAATCTGATGGTGCTGCTCCTGCTGGTACAACATGTGCTGCTGCTGCGTCTTCTCCAGCGTCCTCTCGTCCATGTGCCCACCATACATCTTCTGAAGCTGCTCGCACTCCTGGAACGAAGCCAACGCGCCCTCCAAGTGACCTTTTTGCGCGCAGCACGCTCGCTGTGCAAAAAGGCAGCCTCTCTGCAGCCTACCCATCTGGAAAAGCCAGCAAAGAAAGGCTAATCCATTTAATTTGACAGAATCAGGTGCGTAATAACATGGGCAGCTCGAGCCTGAGACAACACAAAGGAAAGGGGCACGTGTGACACCAGGCTGGTAGCACTGAGTTCCCTTAAAACAAGCACAAAGCTCTAGTAATGGGGACGTCCAGGTGAAGAGAGCATCGCTCATTTCCACCACGTTGCAAGGTGAAAGTCCTGTCCTGGGGCCAAACCCCACTCAGGCCATTGATAAGACGCGCGCTGGCTGCATCAGGAGCAGCACACAACACACTCCAAACTCTGGGGGTAGGAGCTGCCCTTTTCCCAGGACACCCTGGAACAGCCCCAAAACTTTGCTGTCCCAGGAAACGTGGGATGGCAGCAGCCACAGCCTGACAGTGCTGGTGGGACCAGCAAGGGCAGGCAGAACAGCCCACGGGTGGGCACAGCACACGGTTTGCTCCCCAGAAAAAGTGGGGTGGAAGCCTCCAAGGGTCCCAGCCATCAGGTGAACAGCACATACATGTAGAGGACACTCAGCAGGGCTGCTGCAGATGTTGAGGGGGAACAGCCACCCAGCTGGAAAGCCACCACTGCCTGTCCTTAGCTATTAGTGGCAAAGACTTCACCTTCTGCTTCCTGCAGCAGCAAGGTTGAGGCAATAAAAAGCCCTTGCAGAGGCTCTTTGAGGACCCCCATCCCTCTCTTTTACCTGCTGAAGCTGTTTGATGCTGCTGTTATTGCCCATCTTCTCCAGGTGGGCTTTGAAAGCCTGGATGCTGGCAGCACCATCAGAGAAGCGCCGAACCGGGGAGAAGCGTTCGGTGGGGAGATGCAGAGTATTGGAGTCCTTGTAAATAGAACTGAACACACGGGGAAGTGGGTCAGTGATGCCAGCGAAAAAACAAACTCCAGGACAAAGACATTTCACTTACACCAGCTCTGCCAAGTTCTACCTGCCCACTCACCCAGAATAAAGCACGTTTTAGATCAAGGAATAAAGTGCCATCATCACCACGAACAGGAAACAGGATTACCAAGCAACCTGGGTGCCTGGGCAGATAAATGTGTTTTAAGGTTGGAGACGACTCAGCCACAAACCAGGTTCTAGATGGGCAGCAACTCATTGTCCATCCACACAGACACACCTATCCCTCAGATGGAGAAGGTGTACAGGAACCATTCAGCATCCTAAAAATCTGATTCACCTCTTCAGTAGCCACTTCCTGAGCCTTCCAGCTCCCCAGGGCCCCTGACTACACCTGGTGCCTGTGGAAAACAAGAGGGGCACACGGAGAACAGAGCCTGATGTGTTCTGCCACCTCCAAGGAGGAAGAGGGGCTGGCATCCATCCTTAGAGATGTACTGAGTTAAAAAAAAAGAGGGCAGGGACACAACCCTGCACAGTAAGGGAAATCTTTCTAACGCATTAACTAAGCTGTCCCTTCACATGCAGAGCCTCCCAGTTGCCTGGACGCTGGGCACTGGGCATTCAGAATGGATCCAGTTGAAAAGCAGACATAGCCAGTATCGAGGCAACTGTGCCCAAGGCACTGCAAACACTTTCCCTTCACAACGAGGTTTCCTCTTCACCATCAGAGGGAGCCAGATTTTTTTCAGGAGCTGTTTTCTCCCAAAGTTGGGGCTCCCCATTATGAAAGTGAAGCGCTAAGCTCCTGCCCTGCAGTGAGGTGCAACCTGTGGTACCATCAGCCGAGCTAACCCTCCACGCAGACATCACAACGCGCCTCACAGCAAACAGACTCTGGTTTCTCTGCCTGCCCTCATGCTTTCTGTGCAAATGCAATCTGTAAACCCCAGCAACCCATACCCAGTGGTACAGGCTCCGAGAGCAGCCTTTGTCTGTGAGGAGGTCACGGAGATGTGGTCTCACAGCACCGCTGACACTGTCACTAAACCCAACGAGCCCACCTGGCTGCACGCTGGCGAGGTCCTGAACCACGTCACTGCCGGCAAGTTACTGCCGTGGCTACTGTGAATATGGCTCTTTACTGAAGCCTGTTCCACAAAGGGAAGTGGTTTCTCCTGGAGAGGGTCACCCTCCTCAGGAGGTGGCTGAAGCTGGGCCATTTCCAGCACGCTGGGTTCCGTTCCTGTCGCTTGCTCTGCCTTAGCAGGACATACTTCAGTTTCTATAGATTACACATAACTCTCTTCCAAGGACAGAGTTGCGCCCCTGCCTTTTCCATCCTATCCGTTCTCCTGACCCATTAGATCTCCTGGTGTATTGACAGAAAGCAGAAGTTACAGATAAAATTGTGCTGAGGTTCCAAACCCATGTGGCCAAGGCAGAACGATTATGCTGCCTTGTACGATTGTTGTGCTTCAATTCTGCTTTCAGTCATCATGACCAAAACCAGGTGCTACGTAAGAAGATGGCTTTAAAAATGTCAAGTGCTAAAATGAAACCCATCTGCCATTCAATAACTGATGTATATTTATGTGATGACTCAGGAGTGATAATGGTTTCTGTGCTATATGTCTCGGACACAACGTGGGGCAGGGGCAGTCTGTCAGGCTGTGGTCAGATGAAGTTTCTGTGATTTCACAGGTAGGACATGAAGCAGGCTCACAGCCTCTTACGAAACCGAGGGTGGAATGAGCAGGTAGCACCCTGCTCGTGATGCAGCAAAACAGCCTCAGGACTCCGAAGCCAAGAGGCAGAGGTGACACCAATGTATTTACAGGGTTAAGTGTGTTTTAAATCTTGTGAAAAATCAATTCCTGCAGTGCGTGAGTGACCCAGCTTACCTGTGGTGACTGGAAGCAATCCTTACAGCTGGACACAGCACATTCTGGTTGTTTTGCAAGCTGCACTCCTCTTCCTATCAAGCTTTTCTGTGACCCTAGAAATCTTTCCCCTCCTGCTCCTCCCACCCAACCCCCCCAAGCACCCCTGTGAGGGAGTAACTTCAGGGTACAGAGGTGCTTATCTTGGTTTTTCCGGAGTTCCAGCGTGGCACTAGCCCTGTCTGGGTCTGCTCAGAGTTCACCTGTCTCTGCTGATTACATCAGTGCTCAGCTCAGCAGGTATCTGGCTACAATAAAAAGCGCTTTGTCAAGCTTGCCAGCGTGCGCCGAGCGCCGACCCAGCCTGGCAGGCGACTGCTTTCTCAAGAGCCCAGACCAAGAGGCAGCAAACTCTGCACCTCACAGCTGGTTTGTTTGCACCCTCGGCGCTGAGAGGTTTGGAGCACAGGTTTTAAGCTCCCTCTGTGGCATTAGCGTCTCCGGTTTACTGCTGCGCCAAGGGCTCCGTGCCAAATTAACACCTCTCTCCATCAGGAGAGCCCCACCCACACGTTTTCAGTGTGTCGAGATCCAATCTCCATCAGTTCCCTCCTTCCCAGACATTGTGATTTTCTTCCCACCCCAGCTTCCTTTCCCCACATCGTTCCCATCAGGGGTTCAGATCAGAAGTGAAATGACTCTTGAGGAGCTTTGCAAAGAGACTTTACAGTCAAAACACACAACTCTGGTGCAGAACAGTGAGGTTTTTCAGCTCTGGTGGAGCTGACTCTTGCTGCAGTCTTTTGCCTGCATCTGCCTCCAAAAATGTTCTGTGGAAAATCTGCTATCTGCTGCTAGTTTGACACCTACCATTACAACAGAGAAAAGCTTTCCTCTGAAAGGAGCAGCTTACTCCCAACCCTTGTGTGACAGCAGCCAGTCTGGCAAATCATCTCCAGCCACAAAAACAGGATGGAGGGGAAGAGCCAGCCGACTCCTGCCCCTGCATTGCCTGTACCTGCAGGCGCAGAGCTCGGAGCAGCACGGAGCTCCGGTGTCCCCAAGGCAGTCAGACACCCTCTAGCTCTGTGGGTCTGCTCTTTGTACTTGTTCCTCTCCTCCTCCTCCTCACCCCTCCCTGCCAAGCGAGATGTCCTCAGTGCTCCATTCCAGACGACATCTGAGCAGGTTTCCTGGCGCAAAGCTGCCCGAACGGCCGGTGTCGTTACTCACCGGTGCTGATCGGGTACCAGGTGTGGAGCCCAAGCCCGGGGTCGGAAGGACTGCTGTCCTAGCTGCCTCTGCAAGTCTGGAGGGATTTCAGCTGTAGGGTTGGTCATTGCCAGAGTGTGCCTTTTTGACCTATTTGCCAAGTATCTGCAACAAGCAGGAGCACATTTTATAAGAGACTGACGGGAGTACTCCAAAAACAGGGAGCGTTAGATAATCCAGAGGAAACGGGAAGGAAGAATGCTCGCTGCAGTGCTCAGAACCAACGGGGGAGAAGCACACCATGGACATGCTGCCCATGCCTGTCACATCACCAGGTCTTCAGCGCTTAGGGGACAAGTGTCATTTCAGCTGCTCATGTGCTACTGGCAGTCTCAGAAGGAAAGAGCAGCCATTTGCTCTTCCCAGCAGGAAAGCCATGTTTCAGCTCCAGGGGAATGCTGGTATATCCCTCTGGGAATACCCAGGTGACCACCTGCCTTCAAGGTGGATTCACACCGCTGCAGCAGGTCTGCTTCCCCTCTAAGGCCCCACTGAGCCAGGGGAAGTCTGCTGCCTGCACTGAGCCAAGAGACAAGTCACGGATAACCCTAGCGAGAGCTGGCCAGAGAACGGGTGCAGGGCAGGGCTGTGCCCTTGAAGGACTGGCCTTTGCACTTCAGAGCTACCCTGGGATGCCCTGGCTCTAGCCCTGACCAGTCAGCAGCTTGTCACAGCAGGGGAAGGGTGGCCCACCAAGGTTATACGGGTGGGTAGAGCCTCCAGCTGCCTGAGGAAGGATCTGGGCTGAGGAAGGGCTGGTGGCCAGCCCGGTCCTCGTGCGCCATCTAGTCCCTGCTCCCTCTCTGGGACTGGGACATCGCCCAGCGACCACAGGGCAAAACCAGCAAGGGAATGGGAGCAGAGAGAGGGTCCCTTCCTCCAGAGCCAGAGCCACCAAGGCGATGGGCTGGGGTAACTCTGACACCAGAGCTCACACTGAAGCACCCTCTGCGCTGGAACCAAGGGATGGGGGTTCTTTTGCCAACCCACAAAAGACACTGGAAGTGTGCAGGGCAAAACTAGGAGCCTCTGCTTCAGCAAGGGTGTGACAAAGGGCCACACAGCTCTGAGGGACGCTGCCCTGAACTGCTAGTTGCTGCTGCAGCAGCTGGGGGCACGGGGCCAGAAGAGATAACAAATGAGCCCCTACCCAGGATGCCCCGGCCTGTGACGAGCACAGGGACTGGCTCTGTACCCACTCAAGGCCAGGTGGGATGAGTGCCCACTTCTGAACTCCACTATTTCCACTCTCGTGAGCCAGCTGTGGTAACTGTGACAAAGATCACTTGGCCAGCAACACCAGGGCCACCAACAGGGAATTCTCCCCTTCCCTCTTTTCCCCTGCGAGGCTCCCTGCAACTCCAACTGTTGCAGCAGAGAAGGGCAGTGAGCACGACATCGTTGCCTTCCCCAAACCCAGCCTCTCTTTGCCAGCCACTGCAGCCACTTAAGCAGAAGACAGCAAGTTAACAGAATGAAGAGTGCTTAGCACGGTGGTAACTTGCCAAAGTCTGTGCCATTAGCTGTTTAAGAATCATTTGATGCAGACAGGGAAAGTTTCCCAAAGAGCTTTACAGTTGTGGTTTGCTAAGATCATTTTATTTCAGACCTCCAGGGAACAATCCAATCATGAGCTATAACAGCATTTCAGGAGGAAGAAAGTTTCCCAAAGCTCAAAGGAGATGTGACTGTTTCCTGGAGCAGAGCAAAGACTACGCTCTGCTTTCAAGGTCAGATGAAGGAGGGCAAAAACTGTTCAGTGGTGGCTGCACACAGAGTGTTCAGAGCAGTGTTCTGAGAAGCTAAATATTTGCATCTGTCCCTGATGTTAATACTATTTACCCTTCTCCTCTGATGACTACTGACGTGTTGCAACAGAAGAGGGTGGAGAGCAAGTCAACGCACAACCTGGTCAGGGCTTTTTCTGGGCCATTTGTACCTTTTTTTCTGGTACAAAAGGACTAAGGGCAGCGAGGTGACGCATGGGTCTGAGGAGACTTGCCTTTCCCTGGGATCTGAACATTTCAGTGGCTTCCAACCCATAAAATACTGTCTGGGGGTTTCAGAATGTTTCCAGCTGAGCTAATGCTTTGACTTAAAAGACTCAGCTGAAATCCGGGGGTTTAGAATGGGAGGGGTGACAACCTGCCCAGGTAAGATTACATGGACATATAGGATGGGGAACAAAGGCATCTGGAGCAGCCCTGCAGAGAAGGACTTGGGGGTGCTGGTGGATGAGAAGCTGGACACGAGCTGCCAACACACACTCACAACAGCACAGAGGACAATAACCGTGTCCTGGGCTGCACCCAGAGCAGCGTGGGCAGCAGGTGGAGGGAGGGGATTCTGCCCCTCTGCTCCGCTCTCCTGAAACCCCACCTGCAGTGCTGTGTCCAGCTCTGAAGTCCTCAGCACAGGGAAGATGTGGACCTGCTGAAGCAGGTCCAGAGGAGGCCACAAAAATGACCAGAGGGATAGAACAGCTCTGCTGTGAGGACAGGGTGAGAGAGCTGGGGGTGTTCAGCCTGGAGAAGAGAAGGCTCCAGGGAGACCTTCTTGCAGCCTTTCAATACTTGAAGGGGACCTATAAGAAACATAGGGACAAACTTTTTAGCAGGGCCCATAGCAATAGGACAAGGGGTGATGGTTTTAAACTAGAAGAAGGGAGATTTAGACTAGATAGAAGGAAGAAATTTTTTACAATAAGGGTGGTGAGACACTGGCACAGGTTGCCCAGAGAGGTGGTAAAAGCCCCATCCCTGGAAACACTCAAGGTCAGGTTGGATGGGGCTCTGAGCAACCTGATTAAGTGAAGATGTCCCTGCTCACTGCAGGGGGTTGGACTGGATGGCCTTGAAAGGTCCCTTCCAACCTCAACCATTCCATGATTCTGTGATAAGATGTCCATTCAACCTCTTGCCAAGAGCCCGATTTATCTGATTCACACAGTCAGACAGACTGTCTCCCATCTGAGGTGCTGCCAGGTGACATTATGGGCCCTAAATTACAACTGGGGCAGGTCATGAGCAGGAACCTTCCCAGGATGGTGGCTCAGTGGCTGAACAGCAGCTCGTGAAGCTGGAAAATACTGTGAGAGTGAGCACAAAGATGAGAAGAACCAGAGTACAAGGCTATGCAGAAAACCCAAGATGTGCTCTGTGTCAACTCTAAGGAAGAGCTGGAAGTGAGGTTCTTTCACATCTACCAGCTTTGACTTGCTTCTAAGCTCACGTAGGCAAACGGAGTCTCTGCACACTCTGCACAGTCTGCCACTGCACACACCCACTGTTCAAATCCCCCCCCTTGCTCTGGAGCTGGCAGAGGCTCTGGAGCGCTGGGAGAAGGCTCTGGAGCTGGCAGAGGCTCTGGAGTACGACCTCCATCCGCCCCAGCGTTTCTCTGCCTGCAACCAACCCCCAATTTGAATCCTTCTCCCAAGCACAGCCCCTGAGGAAACGCTTCCTTACTTGAGGTGTTGGCCTGTACAAAACTGGGGGGAATCCAGAAAACTTTTCAAGTTTGAGGTAAGAAGCAGGAGCACTCCGTAACCACACCCACACATGTAGTGCACCAGCGGGTTAGCAGAGAAGAAACTATGCAAAAGCCTCTGAGAAAATGTTAGCAGGGATTTGGTTAGTGTTTTCATGGATTGAGAAAGTACAAGCACATTCTGTCCACTTCCTAGAATGTGTTTGGAGCAGGCAAGGAGATCAGAAATTTCCAGCCTGATATCTAATAATCCTTTCCTTATTGGAGCAGACTATTTTTAAGGCCTACTGCTAAAATTAGAAGCTAGAGGTACCCACATTTCCAGCAAGCTCACTTTGTTTAAGGCATCAGAGTTGGATGTTTACTGCATGTCTTGATACAAAAGCTGCATCGACACCCAAGGCCACAGATGAGATCTTCCTACCTCCATCGCTCAGCAGGGAGGGGTGAATCACTCAGCACTCATTTTGCAGGTTAGTGTGGATTGCATGCTGGTGCACACTAAGCAAAGGAATTTAGCGGTTTCAGAGTTTCTGGAGAACCTACTGCTCAATTAGCAAACCATTGCAGGGGGAATCCAGCTTTGTAAGCTCTAGCAGTGTCAGAGGAGTCATTGCCTGCAGTAATCAACGCCCACAAGAACAAGAGAAATGTTGAGCCTTCGCTGTAATCAACATTGTTGCCTGTGATGAGGTTGCTCTGTTTTAGTTCAGCTGTGGAACATCACAGGGTGAGTCTCTTGGAGGTAGGAAGGGCAAATGTTAAGGGACTGGGAGTTACCTCTGCACAGCTTCCTGATCCGGCTCCCCATCGGAGCTCTCCTCATCCACAGGGGTGACAGCCGGGACAGCCTGCAGGGAGAAGAGAAGCCATGGGCTCCAGAAAGCAGCTGTACAGCAGACTCCTGACCTTCCTGAACAAGCTTTCACAAGGGTACATGTCAGCATCTGGTGAGCAGCACCAAGGACACTTGGCCGAAAACCCCTTCCAACACTTCCTCCCCAATCAAAAGTGCCTGTACAGAACTGCTGCTTCTTTTTGTGCTACCAGAAAAAATGACAGAGATGCACCAATGAAGAAAGAACGTGAGTTAATGCCCAGGGTGGGTATTTTCATTTTCTCTATTAGATCAGCACAGGAGAAGAAAAACAGCCTTAAAACAGTTCACAAACACCATGTCAATTCCAGAGAGGAACATCATCCCAGCTGCTATAGCTACAGGAGAGCACAGCAACTCCCCCAGGAGCAGACAGAGCACCCTGCTGCTCCAGAGCCAGCGGGCACATGCCCTGCAGTGCTTCCAGAGTGCTACAGACTGGGCCTGCCACTGCCTGCGAGGGCCTGGCAGCAGTCACCTCTGCCCACGGGAGAAGATATCTGTCAGGGCACCACCACCAGTTCTCTTCCTTCCCCTTGCTACTTACTGGGGTCATAGTGACGAGCGGAGATGGACCTCGAGGACGCTTCAGCAGCTGCTGTGCGTGTAACTGGATGTTGGCTCCGCCGTCCGACGCCCTCCGCCCCAGAGGGCCCATGCCATTCAGCAGCTGCAGGGTGGGGGGCTGCAGCAGGGACTGCTCCTGGGAAGCACAGACACTGCAGTTATCAACCCCATCCCGGATCCTTCCGGTACCTGAGCCCCAAGGTCACAGACCCAGACACTGGCACGAGGGAGGACAAGCCTTCTGGGCTTCTGGAGAGATGAAGGAACATCCCCAACATCTCAGAGCTGAGGTGGGGCAGTGTCAGTGGGAAAGCAGTGTTTAACTCCCCCCTTCCCCACGCTCTGCTTTAGCTGCCGGGCAGGCTGCGACCTGCAGCTCCAAAGCCAGGCAGTGCACTCCTATTTCTCCCCAGCCCATTAATTAATTTCATACTGCAGTGTTCCTTCATTCTTCAGTTTTGCAAGTAACCAACTAGAATCACACCTAAAGAGACAGTAAGCCTGTACACCTTGAAGCTTACAGAGCCCAAGGAACTGTCACACAGAGAGAGCAAGCTGAGCAAACACACACCCAGAGGCTGGTGGGGCACAGGCTGCAGCAGGTAACACGCATGTTGGTCAGTACCTTGTACTCCAGCTGACCCGTGGGCTGCAGGTTCTGTCTCGGCAGCACATTGTGCATGAAGTTCACATTCGGGGTCACCTGCAGGAACGGAGCCTGAGGAGTGACACGGGGGAAGCCAGGCAGGAGCTTCTGCAGATCTTCCATCACTTCCGTCCTGTGCAAATCACATTTACAGGGAGGTGCATCAGCAATGATGTGAGGAGAACCACCCATGGGCCCAGTGCACTCAGCTTTCCTTCACAAAAAGGCTTCTAATTGCTCTGGAAAATGGTCACAGAGAGTAGCCAAGCTGCTCTTTGGTTTCCATTTGTCCCTTTTTCCTTTCCAAGCCGAGATTGGCCAGAACCAGCTCTTTGCATTAACCTCAATTTATCGCAAAGACTTCGCCTAGGACATGACAGCAGTGCAGCTCAGGTGAGAAACTGGCTGGCACACCAGTAAACACCACCACAGCTTACACAGAGCTCATTAGCAAGGAGGCAAGCATCTCATCCTCATCCTCAGCTGAAATACCAAGATGTGCAATGGGACTAGGATGTTTAAATGAACACTTCTGCTAAAGAGACACCTTGAACTTCTTTCTCCATCCAGCAAAAGTCAAGTTTGCAGAAATAATTCCAAGCCAGGAGCAGGAAACCAAAGGTTTGATACCTGTTATGATACAGATACATGCACTCATCACCACCTGGTCTGGCCAGAGTGAAGCCGAGACCTGGGACCGAGGGGCACGCTGTGAAGTGTAACTTGCCAGCCCAGAAACTGGAGACCATTGCCAGTCCAAAAGTATCAACTCTTATGTACCACAGAGCCCAGAAGTGCCCTTAAGGCATTAGCCTCTCATCTGCCAATGTAGCACAGGAATAAATCTGTGACATCTCAGAAGGACCAAAATCATGTGCTAGGAGTAAATCTGCAGCTCCCTTAATCCTCCATGGGGGAGTGAGGAGTCCAGTACTAACCGTGGGTCAGCTACTCCAACGGTGTGCCTTCTCATCGAGAGGTAACGGACCAGAGCTTCAGGTGATGGCTCTTCCCCTTCATCGCTGTCCAAGTTCATTGTTCCGTCAGTCTGGGCAGGCAAAACATTGGAGACGTTGAAATACAATGTGAGGATCAAGCAAAAGGCTTCAGTGTGAGCCCAGGAAGAGAACTCGCAGGGGCCAGCAAGGGCTGTACCTCACCTCCACTATCTGGTTTTCAGGGTTGATGAGCTGGACTTGTGGCACATTGATGCTCATGGTATTGCCTGTCTGTTCTGTCTGCTGAGCAGAGAGATCAACATCAGAAGACATGAAGCTCACCCCTCTTACAGTCCCTTTACCAACACTGCTGGATTAACACCAGTGCACAGAGCTAAGCACTGGGGAACAGGGAGGGTACCCTGGAGCCAGTGAAGATCTGGTTATTCTTAATTCTCAAGGAGTTGCCTTGTTTCTCCTCCTCCCCCTCCCCTCTTTTGCTCAGGCAGGGGCAGCATCTCATCTGCTTCCCTTATGAACTGGCCTCTCAAAGCAAATATTCATTTCTTGGACAGCAGCACAGACTGAGGAAGAAGCATCGCACAGCAGTCGTGGTCTGTAAACTCCAGCTCCCAACCAGCATCTCTCACGTTGCCTTCTCCTCTGTCACTAAGCTAACACAAACTTTGTCTGAAGGGCATTCGCTAGACCCAGAGCCAGTGAACAAACTGTTCCTAACCTCAGGATTACTGCACCCTAAATACACATGAAGTTCTCAGACAAGGAATGTTTTGACACTCCTGTCAGGATGAGGACACCCACAAGCAAGTCTGAGCTTAGCAGGTAAGGGAGTAGCTGGCCTTCCAGGGCTGGAAGAACAATGCACGAGCAGGATCTACCTGGATGTTGGCAGAGGTGGGGAAGGTCATGGTCCGTGGTACGCTTGGGGATGGGGCGATGCGCAGACTCTTGTGTCTCTTCAGCCGGTCGCAGAGCAGGCTGTAGATTGCACTGTAGTGATCATAAGCATCGGCTCTTAGTGACTGGAGGAGGAAAAGGAAACAGTGGTCACTTCTTTTTGTCAGGCAATAAAATACACTCCATATGGTCCTGAGGTTGCTCAGTTACTGGAGGTGATAAGCAACAAACAGGGACACGATCTCCAACAGGGACAGGCAGGACACGACCGTCAGCTCTGGTCTCTTACCTGAACTGTGCGCTCCTTGTCCAGCCCCATGTCTGCCATTGCCAGCAACACGTCCTCGTTCAGCGGCTCCATCTGCCTCTCCGTCTTCAGGTGCTGACACTCTGCTATCAGCTGTAGGAGCACAGACACAGACATCAGCACTGACATTCCCAGAGGCACACCCGTGAGTCACAGCGCTCTGAAGAACCAATGCACCAGGCCCTGGCTGCAAAGCTGGCACACCAGTGCCAAATCTAGTGCCTGAGGCTCTCAGCGCCAAGGGGAAAGATACAAAAATACTTG